ATAATATTTTGCTGCTAACCAAGTGAAATAAAATTACAACAATTTTTAGCAATCGCATGTGAACAGATTGAAGTTAGTATTTTGCATCATGTATGTTAAATATGTGCACGTGCTAAGTAAATATTTGTGATGAAAGTGTAAATTTATTAACAACAAATTATATATGATTTATAAATATTTATGTGTTAATTTTAATAAATAAACATAGATAAGATCAACAGCAACAACTCCTGAAAATTTCAATAGGATTGGTCAATTATTTTGGCTGAAACAAGCGTTGGAACCATAATGGAAAGCACAGCCAACCGTTCCATTACAGCGCGGAATTTTCCATTTCATTTGAAGTCAAATATTAATCCTCACATCTGAAAAACCGGTTGGAAGGAGGCTTCGTGGCTCCAGTCTGTTGGGTCCTGACAAGTGTTTACTACAGTATACATCGATATATATATGATTACCCAGTTTGGTGGAAGTGTCTCAAAAGTTCAGGCACTAGTATGCTTACAAACAATTGGATATGACTAAATCAACTCGTCATTATGATCGATCGGATCGGTCATTATGATGGATCTATTGATCTCATTTTGGTACTTATATAGTCCGGATCAAAGTTAATATACCATTTAATGTTCGTGATAGATACGAGTACACAAATTAACTAAATTAATTTATTTCATTCCTGTCATTCAATCTGGTGGCAGCCAAGGGCTTAATGGATCTTTTAATGCTGGACCTGGTAGAAACATATTTCGGGCCTCGGCGGAGTCGACCATTTACAGAAGTTTCCTTGTGGATGCAATGCACAGCATGGCACTAAAATCGTAAATTACAAGAATAAACTCAAGCTTCTTTTCTTTGTTTTTTGTTTTTAATTCTTGTAAATAACACAAAAACTTACAGACATATACATATAATAAATATTTACAATTTATACTTTGTCATTTTATCCTTTCTCAAATATTTCTTACAGGAGTTAAAGGTCTTTCGATTTTTTCTTTTGAATTGGATGTGATCATTGGTAATAACATATATTTATTTTATGTATTTTATGGCATGTATTACTATTTGTGAACTGTTTCAAGTACCTAGGCAAGTATGTATGTATGCAGTAGATGTACATGTGTATAAATTACTCTAATAGTCAAAATATTTTGATGCAACAAAGCTTTCATTTTCACTCATAAGTGCTGCGATTGAACATTTGTATTTTGTATTTTTTTTTTCATGAACATAACATATCAAAGCGAGTTTTTAGAAGGCTATATACTATTATTTATGTATAATTACTATTTATGTTAATTCTCATTTTTTGCTACTGTTGCTTTTTATACAATAATTCAAGCATTCGTTTCATTTCATTTCTACTTATTCAACTTCGTTACGTTTTATTTGAGTTTCTAGTTGGAAGGAACAATGGACGCCTCTAACGGTTTTGTCCGCAAGCCACAAAATATTATATTACTTCTTACTAGCGGCTAATAAGCAAACTTAATTTTGAGACTAGTCTTTGGTATCTAGATTAATATTTATAATTAATTTGCATTGTGCTGTCGTTAGCGAGCCGTTGTCATCGAAAACAATATTTAAACAGTGAAAGCATACGTAAGTATGTTTGAAGGTGATTTTATGCATATTCATACATACACATGTATGTGTATTTGTATGGTCTCGAAATTTGGATAACAGAATGTTACAGTGGCAGTACTTAATTGAACGGTTCCTTTTGATAATTATTGATATAAAACTAAATCAAAAATTAAGGAATAAGGTGTAATATAATAATTATTTACTGACGCTGCTTAAATGTTGGAAGTAAGCATTTAACAATTAAATAAAAATATTTATTTTAATTAATTTAAATTTGTGGCAATTAATTACAATTAGCAACTTGGCTAATTTAACTCTATGAGTATACAGATTATGCATTCTAGAAAAAACTCTTCTTAAAGACGGTCTGATGGTCTTAGCTATTTAAACATTTCTGTCCAAATTACGGAAAAATAAGCACAGAAATTGTGAGCATTTGAAACCTATATAATGTCCATGATACAAAAATTTACAGGTAGTTTTATTATCTATTCTCCGTCGACTTCATAACTTACTGACATTAACCATGTTTCGTTTTTTTCGTACTACCCTCTTCCTCTCAAGATATCTACAACTTAAAACAAAATTAATATGTGAAGAATTTTAATATTTTTTAAATGTTTAAACGCCAAAAATCATGTTTTATATTGTATTATCCTACCATCAATAGTGGATTTCATTGAATATATGCCTTTCATGATTATTGTATTTCAGCCTTAGTAAGTTTTAACAAGGCTTATAGAATACAAAGTTACGACAACTGTTGACGTCACCGAACCAGCTTCGTCATAAATACAATAGGCAGCACTTGACATTTATATAACAAAAGTAAATAATTCTTTTCTTTAAAAAACTTTACATAGAATGTATATATAATTGGAAATTTGAAACCGTTTGAGCGATTTTCGGCCGAGCTCCTCCAATTTGTAGTTTTGCGTCTTGATGTTTTTCCAACAAATGGAAGGACCTAAGGTTTATACTAAGCCGCCTCCGAAAGGCTGATGGTTTTTTATGAGGAGCTTTATTTCATTTTTCAATTTTTTTTACAAGATAGGGATCATCCATTTCCCAAAAGCTGTTTAGCAGGTAAAGAAAATAGGCGGAAATCAATATCTATTTAAAAATTTCAAAAATACTGTTTCTTTCCCTAGAATCTTGAACGTTTTTAAAGTTATATTAACTAACATATTTTGATTAATTTACAAAGGGTTTTAGGGTTTTAAAATATTACACTGTTTCATAGATTAAATTTTGCATTTTTTTTTTTGAATTTTCGGCAACCCACAAATTGAACCAACGTCGTCATTAAACATAAAATTTACATCTTGTCGTAATCTTCTACCCTTTAAACCCTGACTTTTAAGAAAGTATCCGAAAGGGAAAAGATTTACGCACCAAAAGTTAAATTGATTTCATGAAGACGAGGGACCGTCTAGATTTTCCTTATGTATTTACGTATTTTCATATCCATCTGTTCGTATGAATGCAAACTATCTATCAGTTTTATTTCAAGGAAATTTCATACTACTGTCGCTTAAGAAAAACTGCTTGAAATAGATAAATATTTGCTGGTTAGATAATAACCCAAGAATAATTAAAATATAAATATAAATTAAAATAAAATGTCCAAGTTGAGCAAACTCGTTTAGTGTAAAAAGTTTCAAAGTGAAACTACCAAATAGTATTTTTGTATTATTCACAGCGTCTACTTATTTTTGGAAAGTGTAATGCATTCGATGATATCCCTTATAAAAATGTAGATATATTCTTGTAGAAGGTTATCTTAATAATCGCAGGTGAAGGAAATAGGTAAATTAATATAAATAAAAACAATATATTATATTATTATAACAATAACAACATTAATACTTTCACGAGCGAGAAAAACAGGAATTGTCATTCGGTGATTGTATATTTTAATGTTGAATCCTTAAACAAAACTATGATTTGTAGGGAGGTTAGAAAACGGTTGGCCTGGATGATGGATCATATGAAAGCAGCATTCGTAAACAAAGCACCGTTCTAGCCCATTTTTATTTGCGAAATATATTATATTTCAAAAATTTCATATACAAAGTGCGCCATCGAGACCTTGAGTATTCCAACATTGAATAACTCTGAGCAAGATTTATATAGGATATTCTACCGCGCAATTCATAAATCATCCCGGTTTTCCATCGCCAAATTGGTTATAAACATCACAGCTGTCAAATGGGATCGACTGCGTATATGGTTTGTATGCCAAATATATCCCAGAGACCTATCGTCGTTTCCGTCCGTCAAAAGATTGGCCGTTTGAGTAGATGCGTGAGGTATATCTTCTTTATCGACCACTCTGAGATAGCACTTGTGAGATTTCTCGTGGCAAGGCAGTTAGTTTTAAAGGATTCCTTAGCCACCTTTGTGATGTCTTGGTAAACACATACATATGTGACCCTTAAAGCGTAGTAAATGCATATTGGCTCTGATTAATGCTCAGGCTATATTATGGGCTGATAGTCGACTTATTTTTCAGCGACGTAGACCTGCCAATACATCTTTTCGATGCCACCAATGAGAACGATGAGTGCGGAAACGAACCAAAATCATGGAAAGGTCTTGCTGCCCTAAAAGGGCATAGTTGTTTTCCCGCACCCAAATCATTTATTCTTTCATTAATTGTATTCGCCATGAAAAACTTCAAAAGCAATGATGATGGCTTTAAAGAACACTGGAGCAACTGGAGAAGGAAAATGAGCCTAACGGTAATGTCTAACGCATGTCTTGTGTGCACTTCAAGTCCCCGCTCGACACTATCTCTTTGGAGCATTTAACCAACTCATCTAACACCAATTTTCCTGCAGCAAGAACACATAGCACCAGGAAACTCTCTTGTTTAAGCCAGAGATCGACCTTAAATGCTGATTAACGATATACTAGAACAACACTAAAACGTACATACATATGTATCTCATTTGAACCCCATGGATTGGAGTGAAAACTTTATTTGTATTTTGATTTCTTCAAATTCAGAAAATGTTGCAGATTATGAGGGCATACATTTTGATTGATAAATTTTATTTACGTTTCTATCAATCAAATTCTTCTGTTATCAGAAAAATGCTATTTGGAGAAACACACAAAATAAACGGCTCATTTTTCAAATTTGATTCCACTTTCATTCCACCACTTGCAATATGGCTGATAAATTGAAAGCAGCTAAAAATTCATACACAATGGAATATTACAGAGCTACGGAAAACAATAAAAAAGCGTTAGTATTATTAAAAAACTAAGACATTTTGAAGAAAAATTTTGGTATATAATTGAAACCTCATATTGTTCGGTCAAAAGTACTCGTGGTATTAAAAATTGCTAACTTGTTATTTGCTTTTTTTACAAAAATATCTACTTCCAGTAGCGGTAAATAGTAAAAAGTTAAAAAAAAGATTGTTGTTTTTTTGGAAAAATACATCGTCTTGATGGAAATTTTTAATATAAATATAAAGATCTGTTAATCCGGAAGACCGATCATGATTAGTATTATTAGAATAAGTTTTAAAATGCATTTTATTCACACAACTATTCGTTCTTTGTTCGATTGCTCCCGACACTAGTTTTGATTATTTATTCACATTTGAACCAATTAAAGTGAAATGCGCGCTATATATGGGTTTGGGAATAGGATATAAACTCTGTGCAAAAAATATCAGGATTCACACACACATGTATCGATTTCTTACATTGCCGAGGAGTCGTACATTACGAGTTCTTGCACAGAGTCAATAAAGTATATTACCAGCAAGTTATGCACAACTCAAGCAAAGCAAACGATACAAGCACGTCCCCACTCACACATATGGCCAAGAACAAACAGCAATTGTGCGGCCGGCACCGAATTTCCCGGACCTTGCCCCCTATAATTCTGTCCCAAAGCTTAACACACCCTGAAAAGACGAAATTACGCTACAGTTGAGAAAATAAAAACTGCATCTAAAGAATAGTTGCACAAGATGACAAAAAATCACGTTTTATGTGGTGAGGGTGAATACTTTGAATGAGATTAGAAAAGATATTCAACTTTATAGGATATACACAATTTGTGCTATAATTTGTACACGTCCATGTGTTTTGTTGTTGCGGCATTGCATGGAGTGGAAAGTGGTGCAGTGCAATCCGTGAACCATAGCATGCATAGCATTTTATTTATTTTCGTACAAAATGCTTTTCCAGAGTTTTACATCTACATTTCCAATCTTCCTTTATCATATTTTATTTAAAACAATATTTCTTTTGCTTATTTTTCCTATATGTTGTCAATACAGGAATAGTAGTTTTTTAGGTGAGGAACACTTTGAGATTCGTGATTTACTTTATTGTTACCCCATTAACGAGTTTCTAACATAAAAAAATTTAAATTGCAAAAAATATAAAAAAATTATGTGACCATCGATGCCAGCTTACGGAAACTTTCACAGAATAAAAAATTGTAAAATTGTCTACAACAGCTCAAAACTACATATCGTAGTCTCTTTTCTGGTGCACGTTTTGCGTTAATACAGTAAAAGAGCTTGTATTTTGTGCTTAATTATATTATATAATACTTCTTCTGTGTGGATGGCGTCATTATGCATTTGCAGATGTTAATACACCCTTTGAGTAAATATATGTATGTATGCATATTCAAACGTTATTGGTACTTTTGTTTTACAACAGTTTTAAAAATTTGTTCATATTCGTACTCTTGAGTATTTACAGTTGATTTAAAAATGTATCGAGTGCTTTCGTATGTATGTATATATGACAGAAATGTTATTTTTCTTATTTAATGATTTCCTGAACTTTGAAATTGCTGCATTGCCGCAGCCAATGCGCTTGATGATGGTGTCATTATTTGAGATGACGTTGCTGCTACAGACGAAGATGCTGGTGCTAATGTTGCTGGCACCGCTGAAGTGATGGGTTGTGGTTTTGTTGTTGGTTTAATATCTTCGATTTGTATTAGCTGTTCAATAGGTATTATGGAAAGTTCTCCGCCTGGTTGTGGCATGGGTGGTAATTTCGCCAAAGCCTATATCAAATATTTTTGAGTGTACACATGTGAATACTGGTCTATTTCTTTAAATAGGAAAATATATTACCTTGGCATGTTCGATCGCAATACCAGCTGCTTTCTCTGCTTCACGTTGCCGCCGCTCTTTTAGTTTAAGCGAGAATATGCCAACAGATCTCGCACTTTTTACAAGTTTTTGTTTTAAACGCGATTTTTTTGCCGCTATCTCTGCCGCTAAATAAGATATTAAATTTTTATAAATTAATTATTGCTTTGGAATAATCAAACCTATATAGTTATTAAATACACTGATATAATAAAAATGATTAACTCTATAGTACATTGGTATTTACTGAAATACTTTTAAGTTTTTCTGAAAAGCACTTGGATATACTGTCCTAATTTTCACCGAAACTAGACGCATAGACAAAAACCAGAGAAATGTTTACATCAAACACCATTAGTTTTTGCAGATTACAAAACAGGAAATCTAATTTCGAAAAAACCTGCAATTCAATTAAAAAATTTGCAAAATTTATATTAATGTTTATGTCGTTAATTTATGTCTTAAAAGCGTCATGAACGTGTGCCTGAATTCGGGAGAGCGTTTAAAGTAATGAATGGAAAATCCCTAACGATGTTATATCTGTACGCCTCTTAAAGAACTGCTACCCATTTGAGTATTCTCTTAATGGTTTAATTTTTAGAAACCTCATGAGATTAATGAGCTTACTGATGCCTGGAAATTCACTTCCATCGATCCCCTATTCAAAACTCGATATTTGAATAGTATAATTGATTACAGACGCATTTCCAAACTATCAACGCTATAGAAATGATTTGATTAAATTTATGTATGTAATAATAAATATTACTTCTCAATAAACACCCAAGTAGAATGTGAAGCGGATACAGAAGTGGCTACTGTAGCAACACTAAAAATCTAAGAAATTATCCAGATTACATTTCGAATCACCACTGCCAAATTTAGTGCCTTTCAGTCGAAAAATTTAAACTGCGTCGAAAATGCCAGAAATTCTCCATTTCTGAAATTGACAATCGGTATTGAAATCAATATCTGGTTAAAATGATGTCGTGAAAACCGACTGGACCGACTTTTTTCAAAGATAAGCAAAACCGATATTCGAATCAGCTGTACACACATTTGTGCAGTTGAATTTTGTGATTATTAATTAAAAATAAATTGATTAATAGATTCATAGACCAATATCGTCTTAAGGAGGATAAGCTAGATAGGCTGTCTACCTTACCTGTGCTCCAATTTGCAGCTGCACTGAGATTTTTGGCAGAACACTCCTATCAACAGTCTGTGGTTAATGATTCAAATATATCGGTGGTTATAAATGCTAAAAGCATTTGAGCGGTCGATTTTACCACGCTGAAAAAGGTTAGGAATGAACAACAGTGCGACCGATAAATTAGTTTCTACAACACCTAAAATCGATACAAATTCTGTTCCGCAAATGAAACCGACATGTAAATCAATAATCGGAATGTGTAACCCCTTAAACAGGATTTTGTTGGTTTCAATTCTGACTCTGAAAATGTGTTTCTCTACCATTCCTTAATAATTAAAAAAAAAAAAAAAAACAGGGTGTGAAGAAATGCTAAAACACGAACTTTCTCACAACTAAGTGCAACTGATCATTTCAGATAACCAAATTACAATTTACCACGTTTAGCGCTCTTCTCCTTCTCCTAGGACATTACTGGTGCGGCCACATTCCTGCAACCGACGTTCTCCTGTTTAAAAAAAAGTTCGGATTCAAGCACAAGGATACCAATATTAAGGGTATTAAAATTTTTCAAATATTCGTCCGCTACGTTGAATCCGACATTTTTGATTTGGAAAATCTGCCACCCCAAAATTCACCAAGTGTTAAGCTTCAAGTGAAATTGATACATTTTTTCTAATTTTGGGAAACTAACACCAGCTGTAGAGTTGAAAAGAAAAAGTGCAATCTTCTATATGAGTATAGTGCACATTATTGCCCTCAACAACCGCGCCGTGAGTTTTGATTTCTCCAGGCTGGTTAAGGAAGCGAAGGATATGGGTCTGGTACTAAACGAGGGCAAGACGAAATACCTTCTGTCATTACACAAACAGTCATCGCATTCGCGGCTTGGCTCCTATGTCACTGTTGTCAGTCATAACTTTGAAGTCGTAGATAACTTCTTCTATCTTGGAACCAGTATTAACAACAACAACAATGTCAGCCTAAAACATCAATGCGGAATCACTTTAGCCAACAGGTGATACTTTGGACTGAGTAGGCCTCTCTCGACAAACGAAAACAAAACTCTACAAGTCCCTCATCGTTCCCGTCCTGCTATATGGTGTGGAAACATGCACGATGACAACATTTACTGAGTCGGCGTTTGGAGTTTTCAAGAGAAAAGTTTTGCGTAAGATTTAAGGTCTTCTAGAGGTTGGTAACGGCGAATAACGCAGCCGATGGAATGATAAGTTGTATGTGCTAAACGGTGACATTGACATAGTTCGGCGAATCAAAAAACAGCGGCTACACTGGTTAGGAAGGATAAAAATACTCCAGCTCTGAAAGTTTTCGATGAGTAACCGCCAGTGGTAGCAGAGGAAGAGGAAGACTATGTTGGAAAGGCCAGGTATAGAGGGTCCTGGATCTACTTGGTATGTTCAATTGGTGCCAAGCAGCGAGAAAAATGAATGAACGGCGCGATGTTACAGGCTTAAATTGCGTAAGCGGTTTTTACGCTAGTAAACTAAATAAATAAGTAAACCTACAACAGATTCATAATCAGAGACATTAAAAAAGAGAAAAATTGCTATAATATACAATTTTGTATCGATCAAGGCGAAAAAGCAGCCAAAACGGCTGAAAAAAAAATACTTTAGTTTACGGGCCCGACACTGTAAACGAACGTGTATCATAAAAGTGGTTTGCTGGGTTCCGTTTCGGTAATTTCGATGTTAAAGATGCACCACCCGTCGGGAGGCCTGTCGTCGAAAATTGCGATAAAATCAAGGAAATAGTGGAAACAGACCGTCACGTGAGCACTTAGTTAATTGCTGACAAACTAAAGAAAATCCAGAAAACCGTTTGGAACCATTTGCATAACCTTGGATTCAAAAAGAAGCTCGATATTTGGGTGCCACACAAACTAACGCATCATGAATTCGTTCCAAAGGGACAGACGGTCAATAAAGAATTGTGGGCCCGAAACGACATGCGCCATCACATCAGCTGTAGTTGTGAACGATTTTAAGACCAAAAACTCGCTCAATACAATCGATCAACCACCATATTCACCGGATTAGGTCCCATGCGACTATTTTTTTGACTCGACACGATTGCGGCTGTAAAATAAAATACTCACAAGGAACTGAGGTCGATTGATTTCAACAGCTGCTACAAACAAACTGGTTGGCAGATCCCGCTAGTTGTGGCATAGTAATTAAGGACAGTGCTACCAATTTAACAAAAAAGGTGCTGAAAAATATTAAGCGCGAGCAGTTTAAATGAAAATTTCAGGAAACTTTATGGTCTTAATGGGTTATTCTATTCTTAACTTTTGTTTAAAACTTTATATACAGCACGACATATCTTTCTCTTCGTAAATAATAGGAACTAATTATACAATTCTCATAGTTTTATGTGCAGAACTCTAAAGTTACTCAAAATAATCTTAAACTTTTCTATTTAAGACTTTTCTTGCCCGGATATCCGTTTTAAAGTAACAGCTAAGGTATTAGTTAATTAGATCGGAATTCTTATATATAATTTGTTTAAACCTGTAAAAAAGTGTTGTGATACTTACAGATTTATGATTAATAAATAAAGAAATATATATAATATAATATATTGATGAATAGATATATACCTTTGGCTTCGTCATCCGTGCTACCGCCTTGAGTTGTGCCGCTAAAGCTGCCTTTCAAAGCTGTCACTTCTGTTGAAGTAGATTCCTTTAAATTATCAGTGTTTTTCTTGAGATGCATCGATGATATAGATGTACTGGAAATGCCACCCACACTAGGACGTTCTCGATCGACCACACGCCCTGCAATCATAGCACTGCCACTGCCTGCACTACATCCCCCAGCAGATGAGGAAGATGAAGAGGCAACTACTTGCTGTTGCGTTGATGATTTTATTGCAACATTACTCCAAGACGGTGCAGGCTTTAAAATATCCGTTGTGCCGGTATTACTTTGTAACTCCTTTTTATTTAGATGTTTTGTAAGGAGTTCGAGTTTGTCCCATTAAAATAAAGCAAGGGGAAAGAAAACATGACGATTAAGGAATGCAAGAGATTATTACATTGTTTAGAATTAATGGTTTGGTTTACTAATCAGTAATACACGCAAACTTACTACAGATTTCAAATATGTATATCGGAAAATCAGAAACAATTTAAATTATAATTATTATCAAATAAAAAATAAAACATTTTTCCATATACGTGTATGCATAACGAAGTTGGCATAAAACAAATGTATGCAGATATTTATGTAAAAAATACCTATGTTTATAAAATATGATGAAAACATTTTCTATTGTCACATTTAAAGCATTTAAACTCAATATTGACATTACAGAACACATTTGCCATGCATAATTCGAGGCAAATTTAAAGATTTTGTAATCGTACAAACTGTCTCATAAAAGCGGTCCAATTAATTAAAATCAGTTTAATTTTTGTTGTTGAATAACAGCTTAACATGCATTTTATAAAAGTTCGAATAATAATATAACAAGATATTTGTTTATTGAGATGCTGCAGGTTACGCCAGGTTACTCTATTTTAAAAAAATTGTGTTTCATGAAAACTTTTTTTGCTTTTTTTCTTTCATGAGTCTGCTCTAAGTGGAACTTTGAACAAGTAATAAGATTTTTTTTAGCAGACGAGGTTAGAAAACGAAGGCGAGCAAAATATAAGAAAGGGACGTTTACGGAGCACTGGAAACAACTTAAATACAAATTATTATTATATGCAAAATATCGTAAAAATTTTCTATTTTGTTTATAACAGTGAAGTCAAACATTCTCATTTGAAACTTGTTGCCGAAAAATGTTTCATGAGCTTTTTGCTCCGAGTTTTTCCAAATTGCTCTATTGTTTTTTTTTTTTGCTCTACTCTATTTGCAGCATCAATAAACAAACCTAATACTATGAGCAAAAAGTAAGGTGAACTCTTTTTTTAAATGTTGTTAGCACTGTTATTGACATCTAGGCCGAATTTCATGTCAATGTCATCATTGGTGTTTTTGTTACGCTTGTGTTTACTAAACGACTAAAAGTGCCTTCGTGATTTTTGCATCACGATAATGCACACAGCACTCATTCTTCGTGGCCATTTCGCTAAAAATTCCACCAATATCGTTCCCCAATCACCGTATTCGCCGGACTTAACACCATGTGACTTCTGGCTCTTCCAAAAACTCAAGAGACCACTTCGAGGATACCGTTTTGAGTTGATTGAGAAGATTAAACGTGAATCGGCGGGCTCTCTGGAGGCCATACCAAAACATGCTTCGATAGTTGGAAAAAGCGTTGGCATAAGTGCATAGAAGAATAAATAAAGATTTTGAGTTTTACAAAAAAAATCACCTTATTTTTTGCTCACAGCATTATGTGGATGATAGAGAGTTGAAAGGGGTTCGCAACCGAATTTTAAGTTCAGGAATCGAGTCGTAAGATTTTTCCATCTTTAGAAAAGTGGAAGAAAATACGTACATATCTTTCCTCTCAATTAGTTTCACCTGAAGAGGGAAACCAAAGAACTTGCATTTTCTTTGCGTTTTTCTTAAATACTGAAAAATAGCTTGAAGCCTTTAGTTTTAAAAGGTTTGAAGGACAGTTCTTCTGGTTTTACTGTTTAAGAAGTTAATAAACTTTGTAGAACTAATTACAAAAAAAGAGTGATCAAAACCGTGAATCCTAAATTCTGTCGACGGACCCGTTTAATTGTGCCTCTAATTGACACTTTGATTTTCGGAAATTGGAATAGTCAATCTGAGCTATATCAGGCGGACCTTGTTGGTTGTTTTGCATATAAATGTGATTATTGTTTGATTTTTTATACAATATAAGACTGAATACTTTCCAACAAAAAGTGGACGATTCATTCCTTAAATTTGTTCATTAAATTAAGGATTTTATTAAGCCTGATCGAAACACATACATATGTACTATATGTACGTATATTAAATTCTGCTCGAATTTTCATATACACGTGGTTATGCAATGAGTTTCTCCGACTAAATATTTGCACAAGTTTTAACTCTATGGTAAAACCCACTGATGGATTTTCAGTCATTTCCAAAATGTATAGCATTGATAAAAAGTATAAAATACAAAATACCAAATATTGTAGCTTTTATATGTTGTCACCCGATTGAAATTGACCATGTTCTGACAGACAGAAGACGTTCCGTCGTTACTTCAGGTATCAACACTTTTCGAGGTCTTAATATCTTGTATCTGACACTTAGTAATTAAGAACATGCTTTTTCGCTCCATGGGGAAACTTGTCAACTACTCGCAATAGGGATGGAGCTCGAATTGGGAAATCTTTCGGTACGAAATGAGTTTTTAGCAGAATTAATTCTTTTCTGAACTATAAACTTTATTTTGAAGGGTATGCAACTGATAAGTATTATATACATACATAGCTGATAATGAAACCACCAACCCCAACAACCCTTTAATTCTGTTTTCTTTAAATGTATACCCTTGATTGTAAATGAGGGCGAGACATAACTCTGAAGTGGTTGATTCTACTTAGGAACCAACATCATCAAACAATCGTTCAACAGAGAATAAATTTTGTACACAGATACTTCAATGGACTTATTAGAACAAAACACGTAAAGTCCTCTTTCAATGATATATTGCAAGATTATATCATCTGAATGGTTAAAAAAACTCCAGTTTTAAAGTTTTCGATGCAGTACTAGCTGGTGCCCATCGCTCCTTCTACGGTGAAAGAAGAATAGGAGAGGGACCAAAGAATTTTGAATCATAAAACAAATTATCCGCAGAAGTATATTGTATATATGTAAAATGTATATCTAGTAAAATATTTACCACTATGCCGCCAAAATCTTTAGAAATACGGAGCACAGTCAGGTCTTCTTCTTCCTCTGCTTCCATTGATGGGTATTGCATCGAAAACTTACAAAGCTGGAGTATTCTTATCCTTCTGGACTACATAACCTAGCCAGTGTAGTTGCTGTCTCTTATTTTGCGGAACTATGTGAATGTCGCCATATATCTCGTACAGCTAATTATTTCATCAGCTGCGGCGTTCGCCGTTCCGAACCCGCGGATCATAAATCTTTCTCTAGAAAACACCTAGCGGCGTCTCATCATATGTTTTCATCATCCATGCCTGCCTACCATATAGCAGGATGGGTATGATGAGCGACTTGTAGAGTTTGATCTTTGTTCGTCGAGAGACTTTACTTTTCAAATGTCTACTCAGTCCAAGGTGCTACACCTTTTGGCTATAGTGATTCTGCGTTGGATTTTCAGGCTGACATTGTTGCTGGTGTCAGCACTGATTCCAAGATAGGCGCAATAACAAACTGTTAGCTAACTTTTATTAGCCCACAATGATTTTTGTTTTTTACTTTTTGCTGTGCACGCAAGAAATATTTTAAATTAATGCTGACAACTTTAGAACGAAATTCTCCAACAAATTTTCATAGAAATAGAACTGCTTCGTACAAACTCCTATCAAAGTCAAATTTACACTACCCAGATATACTTATTATATGTTATTTACCCTCGGTACCAAGTATCGTTTGGAAAAAAGGATAATTGATTATTTTTAAGAAGCAAAATTTTGCGGCGTCTATAACTAGTAAACTTATGTAAATATTATTTGTAACTTCTCTGCAAAAGCTACACACAATGTATACATGTTAACATAAATAGAATGACGAACTTATTTTTTTTCATTTACATACATTTCATAACTCTTTTTTTATTTATTGAATAGCTATTTATATGCATATTAACGTTAAAAATAAAAATATTAAAAATTTTATATTAACGTGTAACCATAAAATTAAACATTTACATCACATAATCCATGACTATAATAGACGAATATTTATTTGCTCCATATTTTTTAGTTTATTCATTCATTGAGTGTACTCTATTTTGAATACATCATTGTACCTTGGCTATACAATCTATACTCCTATGCAAGTTTATATTATCGCTGACTTTCAAACGGGACATCCACTCGGGTGCATGTGCTTTAAGCGTATGTTTGTCCTTTATATTGATGTTTATTTTCATTTAATATAATAGTAAATTTAAACAGGAAATGGAAAGAAATAAAGGCTTTTAAAAGGATCAGTTTATCAAAAATGTAAACGTAAAGCGATAGCGATGTGTATTAAAGACGGAGTGAGTAAAGGGAATAAAGTGTAAGTGATTTAAATACATAACAGTTTTATTGACGATGAAATAGGTTACAAATTATCATAAATTTCTTTAGTGTTACTTTTGCAGGAAAAATATTATGATCTCTTATTTTGACATAGTTGATACGGCAATCGTGAGCAGTAATGAACAAACTTCATTATAGACCTATTCCACATTAAACGTCGGAAAAAAAGTTTTTTTTCTCACTGGCAGAAATCGAGACTAAATTTTACTAAATAATCCTGGAGATTATGTGCTTAATTCCAAAAATGCAAGAATGGAAGAAAATGGCCTTTTCCTACAGATCAATTAGTTTACTTATTGTCTTTTCAAATTATTAGAAAAAAAATTGCTTTGAAAGATATTTCTTTTTCTTCATCGTAACAGAGTGGTACTAGAACTTCAACTAATTCGGTTGTCGTGAGAAACGTGGTATCTATCGCTGAGCAGTTTCCAGTAATATATGTACATATGCATACACTGAAGTTCCGTAGATGACCTAGACATATATTGCGGTTATAAATGCCTTAGAAAAGCATTCAAAACGATTGGTGACCATTTACTTTTAATGGAAGAAGGCTGACAAACAAGAGAATAAAGTCAATAAGCAAAATTGTAAACACATTACGTTTGCATTGCAACGTGTTTAAAATTTAGCTTATGGTGGAGCTCCTCCTCCAATTTGTGGGTTTTCGGACAAATAGAGGGACCTTAAGTGTATTGTAAGCCTATATTTCAAAGCAATTATTTAATAAGCAGCCATAAGCCCAATTTGGATGTATGGTATTCAACTGTGGGGCAGGACCTGAGACTAATATTTAGAAAATACAGAGGTTTCAAATCAAAATTCCACTGCATTGTGGCACATTCGTACCTTTAAACATTAAGGCTTGATCTTGAGAGGAGCAGAACGAAGTTCCATACATAACTGAGAAATCAACCCAAAAGCTCAGCTAACGTTTTTTACAACTCATTTTGAATTTCGAAGCTACGTTTCACTCACTTAAGAAGATCCAGTCAACTGATTTATTAAATCATTACCCAACCAACTCCATCTCTATTTTCTTTGTATATTGTTTGGTCAAAATTTTTTTTATATGGAAGCTTTTAAGCATGATACATCAATAATACAGCCTAGTTTTGGCTTTCCAGTGTCATCAATTTCATTCATAATTTTATGATTTTTTCAGTTTTTTCGCGTGTTGTCCAATTTTGTTTTTTTATTCAGGTTTTACAACAAATTAATCTATGTGTCGACAAATCGAAGGCCAACGAGGTATATAGAGAAAAAAAATCATCTGTAAAGCGTTAACACACAATTAAGTTTTTCGGAGAGGTTGTCAGGTTGTATCTTATAAATACTTTCTTCGTGTAATGAATTGTACAAAGTTGAGAAAGAATACAAGTTTAGAAAATGAAAAAGCTCGTGTTTTTACTTGGTGTTGTTTTATGGACAATTTAAGTTACCCATAGGCGATATGTTACCGAAGCCAATCTACTAATTCCTAATATTCATTCCACGAAAAGTAGATATTAATTGTACACACCGTTGCATATATATACATATATATAGAAGGAAGATCAATCAAAGGATGGGACAACTTCACCGTCCATATATTCGATTAGTGCAAATATATTTTCGATTTAAAAATTTAACTCAAAAGAAAATCTTTACTTTTACTCAAAAAATGCAATAAATAAATTGATTATTATCACGAAAATGAAAAGCTCAGGCGTATTCATTGTTTTGAACGAAAATATAAAAATTGCAAAGTAAAAGTTACCTGATCGAAAATATTATGTATAACTGTATTATTATTAATAACTATTTTCTGAATGATAAATTAATTTTACAGATATTGATCACACTTTTCTAAATCGCTACTGAATTGCATAGGACCTCAAAAAACTATGCCTCTAAATATTCAGAAATTTCGTTTGATATGATATTCTTAAAAACCTTTTTTATAAATATTTCTCAATTTTTCATGGAATATAAAAAAATAAAGCTCATTGATGTTTAGTATGAAAGATATAAGAATGCAATTCGTTTAAGGATAATAGTTTATCTTTAACTTGCTTTGAAGAGTTAGACAAAAAGGAATGTTGGTAGAAAAGCATTGGAAGGGTTGTTCAAAATGTAGTTTCCAACTTTGTGTATATGTATGTATCTCAAAAATCCTTTCACAAGGTAATATTATGGTTTAAGTTCAATAAACGTTAATACTCACAGACTCAATCACTGTTGAGTCAAAATATGTTCGAAGCGAGATTTAATTAAATATTATCTTTTTCATAGAAGCAATTTAAGTTCTTATCACGAAGGTATCCTACGCGTGGCAATTGGCCGAATTTTGCACGAATTGGCTTATTATCTACATTAGTTAAAATTATGAAAAATAAATAACTAGTTCAGTTTGAACCGAAGAGTGTTTTGTTTGTTTACGAATGCAAAATTTATCAAATATCTAGTCCCTCAAATATCTAGTAAAGCAATTTCCTCTCAATAATCTTTCTCAAAAATCGACAGAATCTCGTTCATGAGCTTTCTTTTAAGGCATATTATAATTAACAAAAATATTTCAATATTATACTAAATACTTTAAAAAAATTAAAACATTCTCTCAAATGTAATGTTTGTATATCTTGAAGGATTTCTGTCAGGAAATACTTTAAATAACAGTTTTAATATACCACAGTCGGTTTAGTGTAGGGATATAAGCAAATCAATAAATACATTTATATGTATATATGTAAATAAGCAGGATATATGTGATATCTTACACTCATATGTATATGTGCGGCACTTTCAGCTGAGATTTTGCGTTGTTTAAAAGGTGGTATCTCTGGAATCTTTGTGGGTTGCTGTAAAATGGGCGGAGGAGACGAAATATGCGGTTGTCTGGAGCGTTGCGGGCTACTACTAGCACTGCTGCCAGTATGTTCAGCAGAATCACTTGATTTTTTCCGGAATGGTGGTATTTCTGATATATGGATAGGCTGGCGGGTAATATTTAAAGCCAAAGTGCTTGCGCTGCTTAGAGAAGCTCTAAATAAAATGCATAATAGAAGAATTGGAATACAAAAGCATATGCGAATGAATGGATTATTTGGAGGGAAATAAATGAAGGGAAACGGATTATACAAAAGATAGAGGGTTGGAGTATATGTAAATATATAGGTAACATTACAAAAGTGAAATAGTTAAAGAAAAACAGAGAATAAGAAAGAGAAAAAATCTTATTATTATTATTTTACAAAAGACTTAAAATTAACGGCTAGATTTTTAGTATTACATATCTATTTATTGTGCACATTTTTACGTTCATACACACATTATAATAGTTTTCGTATAAATATATATACAATATATAATATATGCAACATATAAGTACATTAAAAATCACACGTTCATGCATATGTTTGACTGCTACCTATATATGCTGAGATCGAAATGACATATTCTATTGCACATTCCTCCAAAAAAAATATCTTAGTGCAAGAGAAATTAATGTTACTAAAACTATTGGATTCAATATTACTTCTTATTGTTTTTTTTAGTTTTTAGCCAATAATACCATTTTAAATAAAGAATGCATGCATATGAATATTTTCATTATTAGTTGGAAAGCCTTCACGAAATTTTTGATCCCTATTTTGCAGAAAAATCGAGCTTAAAAAAAGGTGCGGTTTTGTTATTGTGAACATGAAAAATTAAATATATGCATAAGATAATTCAAAAGAAAGTAAGATATTATTAAAAAATGGTAATAAAATAATGAAAGAAAACTTTATATCTTATTTATAATTTGATTAAAATATTTATATTTTCAATTATATATGAATAAATATTTATTTCAATTATTTCCTCAGAAGAAACTTCCATTAATTTTTGGTTCCAACAAATTTAAAAAATGTGTAAAACACGAAATAAATTAATCTTTTTACTGAGTAATGGTATTAATTTTTATTATTATTAAATCTTGATATATTCGATAGAATTAAAAAGTGAGATTACATAATCCTATATAAAGCGGATTTCGGACAGCCTTAAAACAGATTTAGCCACATATTCATGCAACTTTCCATATTTTCTCGAATTTTCGCTCTAATGATAAGAAGTCCTAACTAGCATCATTTAAAACAAAAGAAAAAGTATATCATATTGATCTAGCTACGTATTTGTATGTGTGCATCGTTCATTTGCTACTAAAAGCCTAAGTCGTAAAAGTAAATATGAATGTCAAGAAGTAAGTCAAGTGCATCATTTGGATTTATAATATAGTTAAACATATAAGAATAGACTGCAACATACATCACAATACTATTTTTTGGTAATCTGCCTTTTCCCCGGTCCCTCATCCACTTCCGAGAAACAAAAGTATTCCACTTAGACAAGTCGTCTAAAAATTTATCCAAACCAAACCACAAATATATGTACATATGTATATATTTTTTGAAACAGATCTGTATATTTCCTAGAAAAAAAAAGAATTTCAAGTAAAAATAACTATGACAACTATGTACTCCAATACGTAGGTCTCTGGTCCGCTGGCTGGAGGAAAAGTCATTGCTTTTGATTTTAATAAAAATAATCTTTTACACTTTACATATGTTTGACATTATGGCTTGGCATATGGTCGGTTTTAAGTTGTCTGATTCTAATAATCTCATTTTTAATTTTATTTTATAAAAATAAAAATTAACAAAACAATCGGCCTAATTCCCACAAGAAAAATTATTTTCGTGAGTTACATATACATTCGATTCATTTTTATTATTTTAAAAACATGGTAAACATGTAAATTGTTTTCAAAATTCTTCCGATTGAAGTATACTTGAAAACAATTTAGAAACTTCATCAAACTACTTTTTGGAATAGGTGTTCGGTATTTCCTAAGTGTTACATTTTTTTGTATGCCTTTTATGTTTAACTAATTCAGTGGTAAATTTGCTTCATTTTAAAAAAATTTACCTTCAAAAAATAATTATTTTTGTTTTAAAAAATATTATGAATTCATTATGTTAAACAAAAAGTATGCTTAAATTAGGGTTAATATAGATTTAACTGAACAGAATGTATATGTTTTTATATTTAACATGGGGAGTTTGCTTTTTATGTACAATAATTTAAAAAATCGGGTACATATAATATATATGTTTTGTATTTAAACCCAAAATGTATGTTGGCCGGGTATAAGCCCTAGTCGTGTCAATAATTTGACAAAATATTAAACTATATTATAAATAAATACTACAGAAGAATTATTGGATATTCTTAGAGACTCATAGGGCTGTAAGAATCGTATTAAACAGACGCGTTCGCCTCCTTTTAATGAAGTTAGATATATATTGTATATATATATATAAAATCAAATCTGAAATTTGTGTATATACATTATAAGTATATAAATATATAAGAATATTTGAAATTGCAAAGCATACATAATTTTTCATTATTAATTTTTGGAAATGAATTTGACCAAGACTATAAATTAGTCATATTTTAACCTTCTGCGCGAACACGGGCATCAAATACCCGTACAAAGGCATTCAATTTTAATTTATTTAACTAGATTGTCATATTTATATACATAAAAGAGATCCATGCATTATTTTTTTAAATTATTTCAGAAATGTATACACCAAATATATATGCCTTCATAAAGGAAATTGCTTTCTACACTAAATAAAAAATGTGCAGAAATAAAAGTATAGAAAAAAGACATAATTGCAAAACCTAACACCTGAAAAAAATTTTATTACACTCTAAAAAAGAAATAATCTTAAATAACTGCAGCTATAACTAAATAAAAAAATGTATTATGCTTTCTACCAATAAAGGGCGATGGCCATGTATTTAAAAGTACACAATAAAAAAAATTAAATTAAACAAATGCGGTCTTTTAACATTGGATGGATAATGAAATGAATATGTATATACTCGTAAGTGCAATAAAAAAAATTTTATCAGTTAACTGAATTATTTTTCCATTTCCCAAATATCTTGAGATATATTATAAACTATACGCATACATAGGATGTTCCAATTCGATATGATGAAAGTTATAATAAAATATTCACGAATGATGAGTAATCACTATTCATCTAACACACACATACACATCCATGAATAATAACACCCATTGTAAGTAACTTACAAATAAGAAATGTGCTTAAGGATACACCACACCATAGGTATTTGTAATTATGAAGGTACATATTTACATACATACATTCCTTCATTACACACAAGACACTATACTTAAATTTAAATTACCCTGAAAAAGCGTGCAATCTTTGATTAGATTGAATTGAGCTTAAATTACGAACTGAATATCCATGAAATGGGGGTATTTCCGCTTTTTTCATTTTCAGCTTACAACTTTTACATGCGCTATATGAAGTCAACAATAATATATATAATAAAATACAAAGATTAAATAATTTTAATGAAGAAAAGTTTAATATACGTAAATCAATATTTTTTTATCGGAAATAAAGGCAATAAAATGCGGCCGCATTAGTCGAGAGGTTAGCGTAATTCTATGCGGTTCAAGTCTTGGCCCTATCGACATCGAAAATTTAAGAAAACTAATTTAATAACTTTAGTTGACTTTTCTAATTGTGGTCGGCTCTCGGTAGCGGATTTCTATCTCTTCGAATGAATTTCTGACATGAAAACCCCATCGTGTCCATTTATTGGACAACACACAAAACACAAATATATATATATATGGTCTAAGAACCTCGTTGTCTGGGTGAGATATGTATTAATGGGAAAATTGTAAAATCAAAATATTTCAATGCGACCAAAACGCAAAGATGATCATATCATACTGTCAATAATTAAGCAGCTTGGAAAAAACTCTCAAAAAAGGGTTCAGAATTAAATATGAGAAAATGACTTACAACGATAAGGCTAGACCAAGCAAATCTTTCATAACTAATCAAATATTGACAGAAATTGAAATTTTTTTGCATCCACCGGCTATATGGTGGAACTTGCACTATCTGACTGACATTTACTTTGTTATCTGCAAAACTCTCTTGATGGTAATAAAATTGTGGGTGAAGATTCGATGGCCAAGTTCTTCGCGAATAAAACTCTGTAGAAGTTCTAAAATAAAGTAATTATGAAGCTATGACCCTTTAACTTTAACTTATTTGATTTTTCCCTCAATGACTAATTGTTGCTCATACGACGAGGCGAACTCTTCATTTTAGATCTCAGAACCCTTACATGTAAATATAATCAAAAAAGACTTAAGGTCTAACTATGCTTAAGATTAGTTTTATGAGATTGAGTTATAGGAAAATCATGCTTGTTTCTGATATACAAAAATTTATTAGTACCGAAAGTGCCGGAATACTTCTTATTTCGATTATAACCCTCTCGTTATGCAAAATACTTTTGTTAGTCATATGCTTACTTTCTTCACGATGAAATTCTTATCTTTTCTTATCTTTTTTGGTGTAATGTTTTCTTTTTAAAAATAATTACGCATATATGCTACATTTATGTTACTTATACATATGTATGTAGTTTTGTTGATCTTTGTCAAATCGTATTTCTTACACAAAGTATTTGCAAATATTTATATTTAAACATCTCATTTGTATGCTCATTGGTTAGGTCTCAGGGTTAAATAGCTAAATAGACTTCCTAAGAATCAAACCAAAGTAAGTATGTAATAAGGAATATAATATTTTTGGGCGCCATTCGATTAAGGGATCATTTAAACAAATTTAGGCATTTAGTTTATAAATTTATACTTCAGATTTAAGAGTCTATTAATTCAAGTTTACTATTAAAAAAATACTTTTGCCGATGCATAAAGGCATTTTTAGAAATTCGAGTAAGTTGATAATAAAAACGTTAGTATAAGTAGATTGAAATGTATTAAACATATTTAAAAGTATATATATATATATATATATATATATATATATATATATATATATATATATATATTTAAAGAAGAACTTGACAAACAAAGCAAAAACTTATGAAAAATAATTGAATATAAACTAACCTGCCGTGTGCGTGGCCAGTGTCCTGAATTAAGCTCGTAACTGATGAGCCACTGTTTGGTGGGGTGGATTCATGTAGAGGTCTAATCAGTATAGTGCTTGTCTGCAAAACCAATTCTCACATTAATAACAAACCATGAAACACTACCCAAGCCTTTTTAATACTTGTGATGGCGGTGAGTCGGGTGATGAATCCCTATTCTCGAATATATTAACATCCGCTTCTATATTGCGTTGCAGGCCGAAATTGACAATTTCGTCCATTTGTGGGTAATTAGCTGTTTGACGCAACTGTTCCTGATATAAGATATCCTCAGCTACTTGGCTTTCCATTGACTGGTCGTTAGTAGTTGTGCCTTCTAAGTTCAAGGCATCTTGGTCTGGCTGCGTAGAAGCTGTCGAAGGGGGTGATGGAGGTGTAGGCCGTGGCGAAGTTCCCTTACATTGCATCTCTCTGCGACAATGCTCGGCTCGGGCAATTTCTACAGCCAACCAAGATGGTAACTCTGGTAATAGCCATGTAAGCGCAGAACGCAACCCCAACATTATATGCTGAATTAATTGCAATTATTGAAAAATATTGTATAAAAAGCTTTTGAAAATAAAACAATTATACTACGGTTAAACGTACCTCTAATGTGACAATTAGGATTATTGTTTGAGCGGTAGTAAGGCCAGGCCACAAACGCGATACTTGTCCAGACAAACCAATTAATGCACAATTTACTATTACAGCTGCTAGTGATAGAATACTGAACGCGTTTTGCCAAGTGCCAATATTGGCCACGCGCTGTCCGAAAGGTCGCTGGTGAACATGTGCTAACTTAAAGGCATCCGAACGTATTTCCATCAAATTGTTAACGAGTGCACATACGCCGGCAAGTGGAAACGCAGCCGAAAAAAGCACTACATAACCCATCTGCACCAACATCTCTAAATGATCAGAGAACGTCCCATCATACTATAATTAAAAAGTGAATTTATTTTCGATCCCTTTCACCATATAATTTTATTTACCTTGTAAAGTGTACTTTCGATTTCAGCTTGGCCAATATTCCGTTTACTAGTGGATGTTGCGATTCTCGTCAACGGACTGCCATCATCGTGTCTCGTCGGTGTCTGTTGTGGTGTGTCCATTTTTAGTTTTTCGGTCGTTGTGGATCTGGTAGTCGATGCTGTTGTTGATACACCCGAGTCCAGTATAGTACGGTTGATATCCTGAGTAGGACTTAGTGCGCCCCACATATTAAAACTCAATTTTGCTAATTTCCATTGCTCAATGAAGTACGGTATTGCCGATTCGCGTAGGTTACCAATAATTTGCCTTGAAATTAGTAGACCCGCCAATTGCTATAAAAAATTAAGTTGTTGAAACAAAATATTAGATGTCTGGGCGTACACACATGTCTACTATTACACTAAATTATTTATAGTTTAACAATTCTAAAGACAATACTATAAATTAAAATCAGTGCTCTAAGAAAACACAAAAAAATATAGATGGCTCACCAAGTTTTAGAGGAATAATTATAAATACATAGTAATTTTTGAGACAGGATTTATTTATTTTGCTTCAAAGGGTAGCAGGTATAGGATTTCAAATTAGAATAGAATTTACGGACAGCAGTGATCTACATGGGCAAGTTTAGAGTTAACAACAAAATCTTGATTAGTAATTTTTTTTACTAAAGAAAGCAATGATCCAAAATAGTTCCTTGAGAGACTTCTCGGCTCAGGGACTGTGCCATTAAGGCTACTATTCCTAATTACAAAAACTGGGATCTGCCTGGTAAATTACTTATGTGAGCGCGAGCCTAATGTACACTTGAAGAATTATGTATTAATTAATACTTTTATTTCATTTCTTGTATTTTCAAACAAAACATTAAAATTTACCCATTTTAAATTATATTTAATTTATTTAATTCTTTTCTGAACATCTCAAAGAGATAAGAAGTACCATCATTTCACAAATGTGAAATAAGACACAGTGAATCATCCACCCTTGTGGATCAATTATTTCATTTTGTGTAAATTATTATTGATTTGAAGTGGAAAATAAATCGGTTTACATATACAACGTTACACGTTATTCCAAACAGTGAATACAAGTGTGGAGTAAACATTGTCGAAAATTTCTGAGAGGCAGTAGCTTTAGGCGATCGGACAACTTAATGAATATAAACTCAGTATCCTCAGTACTTGATTCACATAAAAGCTTCATATATATATATATATATATATATATATATATATATATGCTAAGAGTGAAGAATATAACGTTTAAAATAACTATAAATACATTAAGTATTTGCCTAATTTGTGAAATACAGCGCCGCGCAGTGCAAATTCGGAACTTACAAGATCGGTAGTCAAGCTTAGTAATAGTTCACTCTGTTCAAAAATCACCAGTAGAGTGACAAGTTGGTTTAATTTGTCACAAAGAGCTTCATAATTCAATACACATATTTACAAAGTAGATTTGATAATGAAAATCATTTACTAATATTTAAATCATACCATTTACGTCCACTTTACACATCGGAAAGAACATCATCAGATTATTCCAATCTCATACATACTTTGATGAAACTTGGTTCACACATTTATTGGCTTACAAGTACGGGTGCTATTGTAAATTGGCAATTTCGGAAAGTACGAATATCGCGATAACTCAGTACCTAAATGTGTACTTCAAGTTGTATAAATTTGGGTCTAAATATATATCTCAAAAGCCACTGAATAGAACGTGATGAAATTTGATGAAGGCTGCATCGTGACGATCAATCACACGTATAAAAATAAATTGTATTTCGTTTTTAGCCCAAATCACCTCTGAATTTGATACTGATAAATCCTATAGCCTAGTATAAACTCAAACAAGTATTGTTAACTTAAAAATAAAGTGTTCGCCATGTCGTATGAGCAATTTTTAACCAACAATGGAAAATGGCCGAAAAGAGATTTAGGCAAGTATTATATATAGATATGGTAAAAAATTCTTACAAATTTTTTGAAATGTGTATATCTCATAGATAATTTAAAACTAAAATTATTTAATATTCATGGGATGTTTTCGTATTTATTCGACTCCTCCCTTTATGCTTCTAAGCAAAAAAATTTAAATAACTGAAGAAAACCTATTGTATATAAAAACCAAAAATAATCCATTTAATGCTTTAATTCCTATTTTATGACTTATAATTATTACAGTAAAGGTAGATACAATACAATCTGTACCATTTTGGTTTTCACCTTTACTGATCGACTTTCTATTTATAAAAAACTTATGTTTCCAATAACATTCAAAACTTTTTAATGCTAATTTAAAAATGTTAAAAGAAATCGTGTGCTTTTTCACAAAAAAACATCATCATTGATTTGTAGTAAGGGAGTCGGTCGGCCATGAGGGAACGAGGAAACTGTTTACTTATCTGACCTTTTAATTATAGAATCATGACATGCATATATGTATGTACAATATACATATTTAATGTTAAATACTAAACATACACATGTATATTTGCCATTAAGAAAAACTTAGAGCAAACTGTAAAAATAGGTAAATACGTGTACCAGGTCTAAAGCCACACTGATAAGGTCCAATCAGTTTGTTGACGGTGGGCTTTAGTCTTTCACACAATACGCTCGACAGGACCGTATAGGCGATATTAAGGACATTTATCCCACAGTAATTGGCGCAGAGCACGCCTCAATTTCTATCAGCAGGCATGCTTTCATCCGACCATATTCCGCAAAGTAACTGCCAAAGCTCAGCTCTTCACCGCTATGTTTGAAAAGCTCTGCCGGTAGACCGTCAGCTCCAGCTGCTTTGTTGGGATATAAGCGGGCGATTGCTATTCGAATTTCTTCATGATCAGGTAATAAAATGTGCTTTCCATCGTCAGCGATTAGGGTTTTGAGTTCACCACCTGCGGACACTCCATTTTCTCTACTATGCAGTATGCTGGAGAAGTGATTCCTCCATAAATTCAATATGCTCTTGGCATTGGTGGCTAGATCAGCTCTTTGTGTCTTTCAGGAGTCTGCTCCGGTCTTTAAACCTTCTGTAAGTCGACGTATCTTCTCATAGAGTTTTCGAGCTTTATCCTTGTCGGCTATTTATTATACAATATATTTAATGCTTAATACTAAATGCACTGATGCATTAAGGCCGTTAAAAAAGGGTCGGAATAAAATTTATACTGTTTGCGACTACAATACATATTTACATACATTTTTCTTTGTAAGTGAATGGAATGCTTGATTATGACAGTGGCCGAATTCGCGCTACTCAAAGTATTCTATGAATATGAATACTACTATGATATACGCTTTTCATGGTTAAAGCTTGGCAGTAAGGACATCGTCAAAATTGAAACATACCTGTTGCAATTATTGCACCGATCTGTTGGTGACCTTTTATATAGAAAGTATGTAACATCTAACTACCCACCCTACCTAATATTTTATAGAATTGATCAGTTGGTTCCTTGCATACTTCGCCGAATAAACTCGAACACACAAAACACTACATCAATATCGGTAGGCAAGCTAAATAATAATAAAAACACACATGCACAAAAGATTTATATAAATATACAAAAACATAAAACATATATGTAATGTACTGTATGTATGTTACTGTATGTATATGTTATATTAAATTGAGAGAGCTTCCAATAATATGGTCGACTACATTACAAATAAATATAATGGCTAACTTACTTCTTTCAGCTTATCCTCATCCCGCAAATAAAAGGCGATATAGAATAAAGATAAAAAGGAATTGACAAATTGGAAAAGCGCCACTTTTGCAATAAGATGGTTTTCATATTTCGATTGAAGCCGATAGTTTTCTAAAATAAGAGTCATTTTATTTTTTACAATTAGAATGGATATTCAGCTTACCGTGATCGTTTAGCCAAACAGCCAATTTGTAATAAGCCTCGTCCATTAGAGTTATTGCACCAGCCAATAAAACCTTTGGTATTACACTCAAACAGCAGAGAATGCTTTCTTCGGGTAGCTTAGAATCCCACCAATCCTGAAAAGAAAAGTGAAAATAAAACATATATTTCAAAATATTTGTAAATAATAAATAATTAACTAGATGGAGCCAATATAAACAGAGATCGACAATATATTTTAATGCTTGTAACGAAAATACGAAACAAATAATCAAAGAATAATTTTAAAACGTATATTTAAACAATTTATTGAATAACTTTGGCTTGCGCTTAAGAAGTCTCTCATAATATTGACTTCTATTTTATTGTTCATTGAAGTGCATGTACATAAATAAATGTGCATCCGAGGGGCGGCTGCCTTTTTCGCGTCCTAAGGTAGTTAGAAAAGTCATATCATCTCGTTACTGATAATACTAACTGCGTGACTTATTATTAGTATAAATAACACAATTTTTTTTTTATTAAGTGTATTAACATTTCGTTCCTGGAACACGCCACAATACTGTGTCAACGGAAACTGTAAATTATAGCACTGCGTTTGAAATCCTTGTAAAAATAGAAGTCTGCCGACAGAAATTTTTAAATAGATGTCATCGTCTCTTCCGAACTCTGCCTTTTATATAAGAAGGACCTGTGACAATGTCCTCCCCGTTCGGGATACCCAGTCACGGTCGTGACTAAAAAAAAAAAATGTTCAGAAACCAAAAGACTCCCGTCAAAAAACACAAGGAAGGTTCGACGTCGAAAAGCTGCAATCACAACACACAGTACCAGTTTTCTACTCGATTTGCGCACCTGCTTTGTTATCTACCGCCGCTACAGAACTAATTGGTTTTCGACATTGCCATAAAAACAGTTGGTATGATGCGGAATATCGAACTGCAGTAGATAGAAGACAAACTGCTTATCCCGCAACCTTGTGATCAATCACAACACGTGCGGGGTGGAATACATACCGAGAGCTGAAGGGGGAAGCAAAACGCAACTGCAGACCAAAAAAAGAGGCTCGAACATCTATAAAAAAATACGGCGGCTCTAAAGAGGTTTCAAAACCGAAACATACTCACGCAGGAACCATTGCAGATTATAATTGATTAAGCATAAGCTTGAACAAATCTTCGCGAAAAGCACATCATTTTACTATTAAAGGATCATAGACAATGTAAAATCTTTAAATAAACGACCTTCGTCGATTCAGGCATACAAAATAAAGAGTTTTACATCATCTGCTAAAATTTTAATGCTTTATTTTGAAGAATATATCTTTTATATATAACAATAACAGAATAGGGCCGAGATGCTTATATTGAGGCACTGCTGAAGAGGTTTTAATTACTAATGATAAAGTATCATTCAAAATCACTAATTGAGTTATATTACAGAGAACCGAAGAAACCCATTGGAGAGGCTTGAATAAAATTCAAAAAGGGATAAGAATTACATTGACGGGTAAACTGTTTTTAATAAAAAAGGTTTTAACTATGATGTTTGTCAAGTTCTTCTGCATTGTCGATTGACATCCACCATTTATGAAATTAATTAACCGCATTTATGTGGTACCTGTTAATCTGTTAAAGTGCATATGTTTTGGTCTGTAGGCAGTTTCTTTACTGGACATTAACAAGGCAGATATTGTTGTTATAGTGTTTTTGGAAATGGTGCGTAACTGGTACGGCCGTTGTGACCGGCATGGCTTACCGTAAGTAAATTATTTAGCCTCGACATCAAAAACAAAGGAAAAAGACAAATGTTGTCGAACTCAAGAAGTACATACAGTATGCAAAAAGTTTTCAATCCAAAACTTTTTACTTCTGTTTAAATTTTTAAAGAAAATTCTGAATTGAATGTACTTTAATTTATGAAAATTTTGTTATTTTGGAAATTGGGTTGTGTCATAAGTATTATATATATATATGCGTTTATATGTTTGTAATAATTACATATGTTATGGATAATGTAAATGAGACGAAATACACAAATAAAAGATAAAAACTTATTATAACCTTGTGCAAATTATACATGCATTGAGCAATTCCTCTATCAGGTATGTTATTATGATCCAGCCAATCCTGTAAAAAATAAATGTATTGTATGAAATGAATTTGTGGTTCTTTTTAACTAAACAAAGGTCAGTGATAAGAAAAAAACTTCGCGAGGCACTAAACTTATAAAAAAAAAGCGATTTTAAGTGATTTGAAAATTTTGTATATACATATATGAACAATAATCAACAAAACAAAAAATATATTATTCGGATGTGCCGAAGATTTTATACTTTTTATGAATGGAAGTTAACTTAATTTTAAGACAAATGAAACCGTCGACAATTCATTTATGATTCCTACAGATAACAACACCGGCACAAAAAAAAGTGGCTTGTACACCAGACGCCACCACTCTACGGAGATTTGCCAATATTATATAGATATCTATAAAGTCTTCATATTGATTTATGTAGTGTAGTAGAGTTTATGCAGTGGGTCCACATATCCAACTTTGAAGTGTAAAGTGCTGTTCAAATACATGCTCAACAACATGTATGAGATTTGAACACTGACAATTTTTTTTACCCAATTTGCGAATATAGCGTATTTTCTCTTTGCTGGTGTCAAATAAACTTTTTATTAAAGCAAAAGAGCACATCTGAAAGAAGAATACTCCCGATTATATGGTTTTGGGCTTCAACTGAGCACAAAATGTAGGGAACTACAGTAAATTTCGCTGTTATTTATTTAGGATCCAAAATATTAGCTGGAATGCCCGGTCACTTAATTTAAAAGATGTCGCTGCCCACCTAGCTGATTTTCTCAAGAGATTTAAGGCGATAGGTCGATGGAGTGGGCAAAGGCCGAATTATTCATGTTGCAAAGAGCGATTAAAACTATTTAAAAAACGTGTTCGAGGGTTTTGTTACACGTGTATCACAAGCTGAACCTAGCCTCTTTAGACTACCATTTTATCCATCAGAAGAGAGTTGAGTTTTGAATTAAGTTGTAGATATATATAATAATAGTAATACCTCGGGTTCAATTGAAGAAGAATTTGCATTTTAATTAAAAAATTTTATTGAAGAAACACTACATTTTGCTTCACCTTGCGAATTGACTTTAAGTCATGGAAAAGATTGCACATCATCATTGTTACTTGGAGAAAAAAATTGCACTACAATTATAAAGAACAAAAAATTAAAATTTTATTGAGCGATGCTTCTGCCACGTTGTCAACGCAAGCAATACAAGAATGAGCAAAGAAAGTATTTTCGGAAAATTCAATCTCCCAAAATAGATCAAGTTGATTAACTTTAGCTATAGTCGAAATAATGCAAAATAATACCATATTTCTGTGCAAAAAAATTCCACATTTGTGTCATCATTATGACCTCATAACATACTAAGAAACTGAATTGCAGTCGATTTTATGAATGAATTTTTATGTTTTTTTTTATATTTTAGCAAGAAACTTACCTGAAATCGTAGCATCAGGAACATAACAATGAAAACTAACACTAGGCACATTCCGATAACTGGAAAACTGACTAAGTAACGAAATGCACGGCGTTTCCATGCTTGCGCTTCTTTTGGTTCTAGACGTCCAGTTAAATTGTTTTCAATTAAAATACCCTAAAATTAGATATAAGAAAAAAGCAAATAAATTCACATGTACGTATGTAAGAGTATATATAAAACCAAAAAAAAAAATATATATATATAAGATCAACATATGTATAAGGATTTACGATTAATAACAATTTGAAGCAGTTGGAAAAAAGTTTGTATCTCAACTAATTCGAATTGTTATGTACATAAATAAAAAAATATATTGCCGCGGCCGCGGAAGGCCAAGGTTCAAGTCCCAGTACGACCAACATTCAAAAGTTGTAGAATATTGATTTTAATAAAAAATAGAGTTAAATTTTCTAATTGCCCCCTGCCTTACGGCAAGGAAAGTCATCCCCCTGAGTGTACTTCTGACATGAAATAAAAGCTCCTCATAAAAATCCAACAGCCGTTCGAAGACGGCTTAGATTAAACTATGGGCCCCTTTATCTGTTGGATGAAACAGAAAGACTTATAGCACAAAATGGAGGAGGAGATCGACTGAATGTTGTCTCAACGGTTACAAAGTGCCAATTACATATATTTAATAGTTTGTGCAGCTTCAGGCAAATAACAGGCAAAACTGGAAAGGAAATTTATAAGAAGCTTTTATACCATACATGAACATGAAATGGTGGATTGACCTTGGTCAGAAATATGTACATGCCAGGAGAAGGGAGAGACCCATCAACTTTTATACCTAATAAATCGAATTGACAACCTAAGAAATCTGTTTGTCCATTTATTTTACGCAATCTAGTCCATAGGTTTTCGATTAATTCGTACGAATATTGGTATGCATACTGCATAATGCAAATGTCATAATCGGTCAGATCGGATCACTATAACAACCGATTAGTTTAGGCATGAAAGACGTCAATAATCCGTTTTTTTTACTGGCGTGCTATTAATTCTTTCTTTTCGCTTTATGGCTCTTATTGCTTGCACCTAGTGGAGCAAACAGGTCTCTTTCCAACGGAGTGGATGTCTGCCTCTGCTGCCACTGGCGGGTACTGCATCGAAAACTTTCCTAGCATACTTTGTTTTTAATTGAAATTTAGAGTTTAACTTTCGAAAAGAACTACAAGGCGAAGCACAAATCGATTATACATCAGAATTTTTTTATTGAATTAAGTTAAAAGTTAATTTTCCGGATAGCTGAAACTAATATCATATATAAACCTGTATATTGAAGCTAGGGCTCATTTTACTTTAAAAATAGAATGCCGAAAGTCAAATTTTACCTTATAAAGTGGTCTAGGCGGTTCCAGGAGTTCGGGCGGCGTCGATAAGGTACCCCAACGAAAGGCAAGCTCCACAGAGTATCGCTTCCATGCTTCTAAATATAAAGAAGCCCACGCCACATTGAAGAGAGAAAATATAACGTGTCCCATGTCTTGAGCTGTTTGTCCTTTTCCCCAAAGTGCTCCGTACAATATTGTACCAAAGACGGCCGGCACTCCCAAGGCGCAAGTGTAATGGCCCAACCAAGCAAAGTATAATGCTACCTTCACCCCAAAATATTCAGCAATATCATCTACAAATAAAATAAAAATAAGTCAGTAGAAGAAGCGAACATACATTCATATACCTAAACATTTAATTACCAAGAGGCTGAGGAGCAAAAATTTGTTTGACCCAACTATTTTGTAGCAGGGTCAATGAATGTGTTTCATGTAATGGAAAAATCTGCACAATCAATCCAGTTTCATGCCAAGCCGCAATGATGCTTTGTCCTTCGGCTACAGCGGCTCGTCCTTGTAGCGCTTCGATGTCTGTTTGACTGGCTCGAAGGCCTTGCAATACCTGCAATACGAGCCATTGTCGTTCTTGTGAGGTGAAAAGAGCATTACTTCCATCTTCGGTTCTTAGCTGTTGAAAACAATGACTTTCTCGTGTTGTGAATTCTCGTAAGGCACCTCCTAGGTCCGGCCGTAAACGCTTCGGTAAACGTGCTTCTTCGGCTGCTTTAAATAAACTAAAAATTACTTTAATTAAACTTCGGTGCAGTTATACGGAAATGATGTAAATGAATGAGATATTAAAATGTTGATGTGATTTAAATATGTACATATTTAATTATCAGAAACCGTATATTCAACAACTACTCATCCAGTATAAAATACTTACACATTTGTGGGCGCACTAATATAGAATGCATTCCGCCGTGTACTCTCATGAGCCTTCACTTGCACAACCAAACCAAGCCCCGAGGGGGGCTGGGAGCGTAATCGAGCTAAGAGCCATCGAAGCGCCTCAGCAGGTGCATCTTCTGGAAACTCGATAACAACATCGCATAGTGTGGGTATTTTATTTAGCCAAAGTCGGCGCGGAGTCATAAGATGACCGGCATAGGGCACTTTTCGGCGTAATTGGCGGGAAGCTGAAAAGCAAGCATAAAAAGTTATCAGAATAATTACTTACGGAAAGAGATACACATTAATAAATAATGTTAGACCAAAAACATACAGCGCTTTCATATTTCCGGTTTTTATTCAACACTTCGTTTTGTATTTAACGATAAGAACATAAAGAAAACTTTTAATTTATTTTATCCTAGTCGAGTTTGACAGAATAATTAATTCATTATTAAATTTTAAGCATAAAGATACACCAAAAAATCTTTTCTACCATATACGAAGATTTCGTTGTCTTCTATGCTTATTTATTCATTTTCGTCCCGGATCTCACTCTGTAAGGGTGTCTATATGGGATTTAATATTTTAACAAATGTCTTAAAAAATTATTATCGCCCTCTTTACCTCCTCCTCTATGCTCTGCTATTATTCATACGTCTATTCATTGGCTGAACGTTCTATGTAAATGACACCGTATAACATCGACATTCGCCATTGCCAACACGCTAAGCTTTTCTTTCGAAGACTACCAAGGCCGAATCATCGCATGTCGATATCACCCATATCACCCATTTATTACAGCTCATCGTTCCATCGGCTACGGTATTCAACATTCCCATTGTTAGGCAGAACCTTTCTCTCGAAAACTCCTAACGGCGACTCATCAGACGTTGTCATAGCCCATGCCTCTGCACTATATGGCAGAGCGGGGACGATAAGCGAGTTGTAGAGTTTGGTTTTCGAAAGAGGACTTTACTATTCAAATGCCTACTCCGCCTAACGTAGCACCTGTTGGCAAATGGTGATTCTGTGCTGGATTTCCAGGCTGACACTGTTGCTGGTATCAATCATGGTTCCAAGGTAGACGAAAGCTATGATTGTCACTCTTGTAGAAGATTGTACCTTCTAAGCATCAGATTGAAAAAATGGCACGATAAAGAGTCACCCTGTCTGAAACCTGGTTTGGTATCCTAACGGAGCTTTTGGTGTTGGTCTACTTTAGCTTAGACAGCCATATAAGTTTAGCGGGGATTCAAAATTTAGACATATTCCGATTGCTTCCTCAATCAAAAATATCAGCCAGCAAAAATGATGCAAGGCTGAGTTTATTATTGGTGTTAAAGCTGGTCTCTATATAAACGAAATTGTCTACGACCTCAAAGTTATTTCCTTAATGGGAAGAAAATAGAGTCAAGAAGACTTTGTTATGCCCAAAAACTAAGGCTTCTACAAGAGGCTACAAATTCCAGTAAGTTCGGTAAATATGTCAATGACAATATGAAAGATGTCAGAAAGAAATTTTACTGGCTTTTTGTCTCACCGAGCAAGGTTCAGTAAAAATTGGTAACAATTGATTATACCCATCAGGTCACCAAACAGGACTAATATGTATCAAATTATATCCCTGAAAAAAAATTAAGAGATTGTTGATAAGATCGTAACCTAAAGTACTCAATGAAAGAAAAGTATAGTTTTATGTCTTTTAATTTTCCAATATAGTCTCCCTCATTTTTCACATCGTGATACAATACCTCTATATCACTTGCAAAATATTCTTTAGATTTTTCTTAAAAATGGTTTTCTATGACAGCTTTCATCTCACTGTCCTCTGAAAATCTTCGCCTCCGTAACTCCATTTTTATATTTTAATAAAGGAAAAGGTGGCTGGGAACCAAGTCCGGACTGTAGGGTGGATGGTCAATTTCTGTAAATACAGTAGCTTTTACGGCATCCCTCGCAACCCGAGTGGTGTGAACGGGTGCTTTGTTCTGAGGAAACAGCACTCTGCACAACTACAAAAAATTCTTACAATGCTCCAATCCTCGCTGCTTGTTGAACGGAGTGAGCATTCGTGGTACGAAATGCATGTAATTTTGTTTGCACATTCAAATGTTTATGCAAAATCTCCCCAGCTCTGTTTTGCTAATTTCTAATCTTTCTGTTATCTTCGATCAGCCAGTACTAATTTTTAGACTTCCTGGTCATTTTCTTTGGTCACGACGGTCGGTGCCATCTTCATAGGTCTCTCGTCTTTGTTGAAACAGCCAAGCCCATTTTTTCATCATCTTATATAAAGCGACAGAGTTCTGAAGAATCGATAACATCTCTTTAAATATTTCTTTCGGCGAGAATTTCCAGTTTTCTTTTGCATGTGTTTTTCTATAAACTCTTTTTCAACAGGTTATCGACATATTGATGTTCCAAAAAAGTTGATCAGAGGAAACATTAATGATCTATTTTTTCTTAGCGAAACTAGAAACTTTTAGCTCTTTGTAATGATAATGTGCAAAATTTATTTTGAAAATACATGACATTTTCGGTTGTTTATACCATGATTGTGGTAGTCTATTTTATTTCTACCAAAAAATATGTATGCGCATAACATCATCAATAAGTAAGATGGATGTTATTCAGTTTAACTAATATTCATGTCAGAGCATCCCGACCTAACGACGCTTTTCATTCACCGACTCCATGTTACATTAATTCTTCAGATGCGGTCTGAGTCAGGTAGTTGTTCAAAATCTAATCATCCTATTCGTTTACATATGTAAGTAAGGTGTTGTTTGTGTAAAGAAATGCTTGAATCCGATATATTCTGAAGTTCTTTACTAATTTTCAAGTCACTGGATAATTTTGCTATACGCTTTTAATTATTTATTACATTCAAATTTCCTAAAGCAAAGCGAGCTGGTCAATGCTGGCACTAGTATTCAGTAAGCAGCCCCCACAATTAACTTCACCCAAGGTCTTCTGAGCTCAGCCGGCGTTTTTTACCCTTTTGGCAGATAGGTAGATTAAATGATATATGCCTCGGTCCTAATTAGTGTTGTGTGTGCCGTTTTGTTTCACTATGTCAGGACCTTAGTATACTGTTATGAAGTTCTATTGTTATATTCAAACCATTTAGTCTTTACAACGAAAGTGATTACGTTCAGCTTTTAATTAAAGATACTCTAAAGTGGACTATTTAAATTAATGTATATATAATAATAAATGTAAATATGGTATGCATAAAATCAAATTGTAGCTGTTATAACTTTTATCAGTAAACTGCTTATAATCTAGTATATATTATATAACACGGTACATAAAAAATATATATGTACGAGGGTATTAACAGAAGTTCGGTAAGTTGATAAAACAAAACTTTTTGAATTTATTCCTAATCTTTGCCTTTTTTATCTTCTCTACATAATCGCCATTTATTTCAATGGATTTCTGATATTCTTCTGAAAACAGTCTTCAAAATCTTGCTTTTTAAACTCATCAAGTTCAGGATTAACCGTATTAATTGTCTCCTTGTTGCTATTAAAGACCTTTCCTTTTAAATATTAATTAATTTTTGGAAATAACCAGAAAACACGAGGTGCTATATCCGGGGAATATGGTTTTGGACATATCTTCGATCCCGGAGATCGCAATAAAATTACTCGTTATTTCAGCAGTGTGTGATGATGCGTTGTCATGATGTAAAAGGTAGCGCCACAAATCCTCTTTCTTCCTGTTTTTTAATAAATTTTTGTACAATTTTGGTAAGCACTCTTCGGTGTACCATTTTGCATTTTGCAAATCGAGTGAGGTAAACTGACATCATTGCTTTTGCTGCTGATTTTTATTGCTTAGATTTTACGGGTGGGTTTGCTCCTGTTGGGCTCCATACCATGGACTGGCGTTTGGTTTCTGGATCATACTTATAGAACCAAGATTTTTCACCAGTAACGACTTTACTAAAGTTGCTAGACTGACCATTTTCGAATTTGTGTAGGAAAAATTTAGCTAAATGCACTCGAGCCTCTTTTGACATCATTTAAAATTCGTGGTACAGAGTTGAGTTGAGTTGATGCGGCTGCTGGTCAAACCCCGGCCACCTTAGGACAATAGGCCCATTTTGATACCGCTGAGGCTCCTGCAGTGTCCAGTAATTATACCCTTCGCTAAGCTACTGGAGAACCGGTCCAGAAGGATAAGGTGTTTAGATTTTTTTGCGTCCAACTTAGGCCATAGCTGTCTGTCGCGTTGCGAAGTGCTTATAGTTTCCCGTATAGGTCCAGAGGAGGGAGGTTGAGAAGAGTTAGCAGTGCTTTCGAGGCAGTTGATGGCAAAGATCCCGTTATCAGGATGGACTTCGATCGTTGAACTCTCTCTAATTTCCTCCTGAATGTGATTTTCTCGAGTGCCGACCACCAGACGGTGAATACGATTGGTCTAACTACCGATGTGTATATCCGACACACGATACTCGGTCTTAAACCCCATCTCTTTCTTGATCTTTCTACCGTGTTCCGCCTCCAGTTTGGTTTGCTTTTAAGATTATCCTGAGGTATTTGACTTCGGGAGGGGGTAATTTCCACGCCCTTTAGTTTGGGTGGTTTAAAGGCATGCGGTTTGTACCTCCTGGTGAATAACACCACCTCGGTTTCATCACAGTTCACGTCCAGCCCGCTATCTCTGCACCATCCCTGAACTATACAAAGAGCATTTTGGAGTAAATCGCTTAACCCGTGTTGCGCAGTTTTCTAATCTGTGGCAATAAAACTCCTCCTTGAGGGGTGCCTCTCGCTATGTGTCTGGCAACGCTGGCGTTGCCCAGCTCAGCGAAGATGATCCTGTTCCTCAGAAGAGACTCAACGAGATTAACTATGTATGGGCTATTGAAGACCCATGCGTTTCCTGAAGACCCTCTATTACAAAGGCAGGGAGTATGTTGTTGAAAGCCACCTCGATATCGAGGAAAATGCCTTCTTTCCATTCGTGGTACCCATCGAACAGATTTCTTCGTGTATCCCAGATGTTTACTTAATATTCGAGATACAGCTCAATTCATTAGCAATCATTTCTTGTGTCAATCATGGGTTTTCGTTAATTTTAGATTTCACCAGAATTACAAGTGAATGTCTGGTCTGGAATCTTCTGAACCACTTAGAAATAGTCTTTAAAAGCTGTGCTATAGTTCCATATGCAATTAGATTTTCACTGAATATTTGTATGGGCTGCAAATTACGCGAATTTTTGTTTATGTTGG